GTCTGTACAATTTTAGAAATAGCGGAAAAGCTTGCTTCGTAACTCCACTTCATGGCCTATCTTGGCGGATATGTGACAAGAGAATCGTAATTCACCGCGCTGGTGGGCGTCGCGTGCGACATCGCGCCCGCAAATGACGATGGTTCCAGGTAGTAGATGGCGACAACAGGCAATTCAGACCGATAATAGTCATGAATGTACGGGATCTACATGAAGTCCGGTGCTCATCGACAGGTTAACACGAGTTAAGAAAACGCCGCGCCCATCGCCGCGCGCGGCGGAGCGGCAAATTACGATTCTCTTGCCCGTCTCCCTATCTTGGCAAGCCTTTGTTTAATTTGAACCTCGAGATCAAAGGTAGTACGGTTAACGAACCGGGCAACACGAACGAGTACTGTTGTCCAACCAGTTCATCACGGACATCTACCATAATTCCAGGGAAGACGGTAAGACTCACAAAGAATACCAGATAGACGTTTAGCATTTGAGGCCATCCCTAGAAGATTAAATTTCTCAGGGCTTTCAAGCACATAACATGAACGACTTACTTGTTTAAAAGCCTCGAGATAATCACGAGCTGTGAGGCCCGGCTTTGAGTCGGTACCTTCGCTTTGACGAGCCAACATAGCACGTTTAGAGTAGTATTGGTAAAATTGCTAAAATTATTAACTTCATTTGCACATACTAGTAGTAATGAAACAACAAATGTAGAACATACCTGTTTTTTCAGAAGGAAAAATGAGGCAAAGCATACGCCGAGGGTTAGTAGGGAGATACCGAAGTAGGCAAATGCTGCATTGGCCGTATTCTTGGATACTGAAATGAAAAAAATAATGTATGCCCAAACAAGAATGAAAACTGTAGCAGAAATCTCGCAAGATGAGCCTTTCATCTGACACTAGCAACTAGTAACAGTGAAAACGATCATAACTCTTGTACGTGTAGCACCCCCTTGTGCGGCTTCTCTACGAGAATGAGGACTAACGAGGCTTCTAAATGGAGAATCCGCGAAAAGGACCGCTTAAGCGATTACACCAGTTCTGCACTTTGAAGTCT